GGATTGCAATATAATTTAATTTTATATTTACTCACTGAAGAATACTGATTATGCATTATTCAAGTTCTAACATTTACAAATTTCTGTACATTAAATGTATGCAAATTTTCTTACCAAATTATAACACGGAAGAGAATCTACTTCAGGTATGTTTATACTACTTATCAATGCAATGTATTAATGTATACCTGCTAGGTTAATGTATGGGGACCTCAGTATTTAAATACTGCTGCCTTTTGCTCAATATGTTTGCAATGGTCTGCTCTGCCTGCATCTGGTTTACATGACACAGATGTCCACCCTGGATAAATTTAACTGCAGAGGCTGTTGCATTGTGTTGGGTACCTGTATGCATCATTTTCCATGGTACCCGTCATCAAATTGCTTTGCCCTTATGTGTCATGCAAGTCCATGCAGCAGGCATTCCTAAAGTCAGGAAACCTTCATATAACATTAAAACAAGCCTAACTGGACTATCATGTCATGCAGACCAGGTCAATTAATTATATTTTACATGTGGTAATTTTTCTGATTAGGTTTTAGACTCATCAGCCTTGTCCAGCACTGTGCCCAAACCTTTTCTTTTTAGGCATGTAGTGCCTCAAATATCAATGAGGGCATCACATCACATGCCTAGTAAGAGAATAGTTAAATCTAGTTCACAAGTCATGTCACACCAATTTCTGGATTGTTTAATTCAGAAATGGTCAGGGACATGTGGCAGTAAGCAAATACACAGCTTCCCCGCTCTCATCACTTCTACCTTCAACCAGCTGTAATGATTGAATGGAATTCCAGCTTGTTTAGAAGTTAAACAACCTAGGATTACTACAATAACAAACCATGGAAAATGGTTGGGTTAGCAATGGGTTGCTGAATACCTCAACAACCCAAATTACTGGATGAAGCAGATCATAAACTTATATTGGCGAGACTCAGGTCTAAATGCTCAGCCATGAATGTCACAGGTGCATCAACTTGAGCAAGTCACTATATCCCAGCTTAGCAGACCTAGAATAAGGGAGGGAGGATTATGCCTTCCGGAGCTCTCTACAGAATAAAAAGGCACGCACGCACGCACACACACACACATATGCATCCACCCCCCTCCCCCAATACTTCCTCAAGGAAAGGCCAAGACACATGAAGGCAGAAGGGGAAGGTGCCACTAGCTTTTGAACATGGCCTCTAAGGCTATTTTATCATGGTGTAAACTCCATAACAGTGAATGTCAAAACTAAATAATTTTTGATACTAAATATGTAACTCAACATGTTTTCCATGTATTATTTTTCTCCTGGATGCTTCTTGATTCCTCAACTACTTTCCAGGTAACAATCCACTTCTTATATATGTTGATATAATTGCATTTAAACCTTTATTTGTATTAGAAACCGTTTCAATATTTGATACATTTTTAAACAGATAAAGTACTCTAGATCTGAATCCCTCACAATAAACTATGAAGATGGGTTCCCTAAAAATGAGGTGCTAGTAATGAAAATATTTAATTACTACCAGTCAGGTAAGCTGGGGCATGGCAGAAGAAAAGTTCTGTCATCACTATTTCAGAGGAATAAAGAACCAATTAAAAGCAAAACCTGAGCTTCACATTTCAGGGCCTAGATAACATCTTGTATTTTTGTCTGTCAGCATAAATTAATACTATATTTCCTGCTGCAACATTTTTAATTACACATCCAATGCTTAAGAGAACTTCAGGGAAAACTCATCTTGGCAACTGCATCCTTTCCCAAATGTCACCTTAAGACATTGCTGTCCTTACTTTAAAACAAGGGTGGGCAAAGTCTAGAGGTCCAAGGGCTGTTTATGCACTCTAGAATTAAGATGCAGGCTGTACACTGTAAACTGCCCCACAAAAGCTGAAATTATCAGTGTGACATCAAAATTAGGAGGTAAACTACTCTGTAGAACTATAGTGGTAAAATTCAGCTTGTTCCTAAGTTAAATTTAACCTTCTTGGCACTTGTTGCTGTGGAATGCTCAAAGGGCCAAATGTTGCTTGCAAAGAAGTGACATTTGGGTGCACCATTTCTTCTACAGGTGCCATTTTCTTCTGGAAAAAAATGTTTTTTAAATGGTGGGACAGATATGGAGGGGGCCATATGTGACCCACATGTTTCCCACTCATTTTAGGGCACGCTATTTTAAGCACTGAAGACAGATGACAAATCCATTTCTTATACAAATTTCAAAGAGGACACGAAGCTGAGTTAAATCAGAGCTGCTGGTGAACTGCTGTATCTACCCAGAGAATTTTGGATATTGGGAGGAAGACAAATGCAATTAACAACAATAACAATCCACCTCCAACCAAACTTTCAGCCAACAGGCTTCATCATCTCAACATCTCACCTGTTAAATTCCTGTTCATGTACCAAACCTGTATGAAGTACAGTGACTGCCATCTAAAACTAAACCAATTTTGAAGCCTATACAAAACTGGTAATCAAATAGCAGACATTTGGTTTAAAAAGCAATCTAACATACTTTTTGAGGGCTATTCAGGTTGATTCTAATCAGTTCCTCATACAGCCCGTGAAATGAAGTAAGCCTGCAAAAGTGTTAGTTATACTGTCCCATTCATGAAAGTTAAGTTGCTCGGCAACTTTAAGGCACCAAATGTCTGTGACAGGCAATTATGCAGCACAAAAATGGAGTTTCTAATTTCTACAATGTCTGTTAAGCTGCTTTAGATTGTTTGTTTTCCCCCCACACAATTACTAACTTTTACTCCAAGCGGTTATTACAAATGCAATTGTTGTCAAATCAGCAATCCTTTTTCTACAGGCAGCTGGCTTGTTCTTAAGATTTATTAAGAACATTTTAATCATGTAGTATTGTTCCTTTGAACATTAAACACTTCAAATGAAGCAAGTTCTTAAATCTGTAATCTAGGGCTTACTTAACAAATGCCAGCACCTTCAAAAATTATTTTATTAGCTTTCATTCTTGCTTTACATTTCAGACCTACCAACAAAGCCCCAGGATTTCCAACAGCAGTCTTTTAAGTTTTCAACTGTCTGATAAGTGAAAATGCTCATTCTTAAACTTAAATCAAAACTGCTACCAGTTTCATTTCAAAAATCTTAGGATTATATATGCTTTGTTTCCATGGCCAGTCTGTTCATTCAGTCTTCTTTCCTGCCATATTGCAATGCAGGGAAGGGGGGCCACTCCAGCTACTCCCAAAATCGGTGTTATTAACCTCTCTCTTCCTTGCCACCCTCCACACATCTCCCCTGACTAGTTACTGCAGGTGTACAATTTTTCCCTCAGTTTACTTCCCAGCCTTTACATCTGCACAAGAATTTCTAATAGTTTTTTTTAATATAAAAACCTTAAGGGTTGACTGAACAAGACAGACCAAAAGGTATAGCCACACCCATAATACTTATACCTGCCTCCCCTGCCCCATTCAGCCACCTTCTGGGGGGGGGGGGGGGGGTTAAAAAGCTGTCAAGGCGATTTGTAAGCCATCTACTGAAGTACAGTAACCACAACGGTAACTGAGCCAAATAGAAGGCATCAGTCAGGGGTTAACCCTTCCACATATTTAACCTAAATACAAATTGTAGGTTAACTGTGGGCTCTTTAACCCACAATTAACTTATAGGATCCAGATTTAGACTTCAGATGGCATTAAATATTAAAAATGACTCCTGACATGTACTGTGGCAAATTATGGATTAATTCACCGTCTGCTGCCATTACATGAAAAAAGGGTCATTGTGTTCCCAGTAGGAACAACTGCCTCAAGCATAAATCATTTTAAGCGCTAAGAACTGCCGAAGACTGCAAGAGCACAGGATGTTGTGAAATTTTTTCCTTGGAGATTATATCCAAACAAGAGTCTGGAACAGCATCTGTCAGCAACTGTCTTAAGTCTCGGCAATCCTATCATTGCCCAGTGTTAAACAGATAATGCTTAAGACTCCTTGCCTATACACTGATACATAGTTACCAATGCATATTTGTACTGAATTGCCCAATAACAACTGGGATTTTCCATTAGCACTAAAACATCCCAGAAAGACCTCTCTTGACTTATTAGAAAGACTCATCAGTGTTGGCAGAGCAAAAAATCTAAGCAGTAGAAAGAAGTGTCAGAGAGATCCAGTAACTGCTTTATTTTTTCTGATCTTGAAGGCCATTAGCAGCACAGCTTCTGTTTCAGGGATTAGTAAGAGAGGAGAACAGTTAGAAGAAAGCATAAGAGAGAGTGGTTACAGAGAACGTACTTACTCACATTAGTTGTAAAGACTAAAGAAAAGGAAAAGAGGATAGTGCACATGAATGAAGAACAGGTGCTGCCAAAAAGGACTTCTGAAAGAAATCAGAAAACATCTTAGGTATAACCTCCTCATGTGAGAATACAATTAACTTAGACTACTTTAACAGAGAACAACCCAAAGACTTGCCATTCCTTAATCTGTTCTTCATTACAATATACAATTTCCACTTCTGTCAGTTCCTTGCTCCGTTTCAGTGGGGCATAACCACAGAAGGCACCAATGTGCCATCCGTCGCAATCCCCAGCACCTGAACCGCATGCCCAAATGCGAGGTTACGCGTGCTGCTGTAACCAGAACAGGGCGCCATGCAGCACAGGAACAGATTTGCTTTTCAGTTAGTCCAGTGCCTTACCAAACAGTCATGCTGTTTGATGTGTGGAGCACAGGGTTGGATAAGGCACTGGAGAAACCCTGCATGACTGAGTTGGCTTTGCTCCAGCTCTTGGTGCTGCCGCTACCATCTTATCTTCCACAAAGCCTAACCACTACTGCTGGGCAGGTGGCTCCGTCTCCATCTATTCAACATTCTAAACTGAACAAGAGTTGCAAGCAAAACATTGGCAGATTTTCAAATGCTAGGTGGTCTTAAAGTCACTGCCTTTCCTCACCTGCTGCTGTTCAAAATGAAGGACAGAGTGAATCCATGCTTTTCAAACTGAAACATTAAAAGCACGCATCTCCTACCTCACAGGTTTGTGCTCTGGATCCGTATCCCGGAAACCCATCTCTTCCAATTTGCAGCGGCGGTACAGCTCATAGTGGCGCATGTGCGTCTGTTCTCTCAGATCTTCCATGTTTGTACAAATCAGCATTTCCCGGAGCTTCACAAAGTCACAGTGGTTCTCATTTTCCACTAATGAAATGATTTAAAATATTACCAATAAACCATTAGCACCTACCAAAAGATGCATCCAAAACACTCACAAAGGAAATTCCCTGACCCCTTCCGTATTCAAATATGCCCCAGGCTCCCTGCAAAGCCTCTTCAGGAAGGAGTTATAAGTAGGAAAAAGAGAATGCAGTATCAGCACTACTTCTCTGACTAATTTGTGCCTTGTGAGTTGTACATACATACATGTATTATAATACAGCTAAGTACAGCACCAGGTTTTGTGAGTGTACAGGTTCATTGATAAAAAAACTAATCAAGGTAAGATTCCCATATACACATCAATTAGTTAAATATCATTTTATTTCATTTTATTTACAAATAAATAAAACACCTGTTGTTTTAAAAAGTATAGTAGTGAATCAGGCAAGTGTTCCAAAACTGCTCCTTTGGTGCTTCCAAAAGCTAGTTTTTATTTTACACAGGAATAAAGATTTTAAGATAAGAGAACTCTGGTTATCCCAATTTAGCGTCATCTGAAAATATAATCAGCTTTGCTAATATGATGTCCTATTATTTATTACTTCCTTCCTCCAAGGAACTCAAGGGGAAGTATATTATGTTCTCACTGTACCCAGATTTGTGATAGACTGTTTACAAATTTATTAAAAGTAATTGTGTATCACCCTTTAATGAAAGAGTCTGTCAACTTTCATGGTCACCAATTTAACTAAAAAAAACTAGAAATGTGGTTCACAAGTTTGCCAAAAATCTGTTTCTTTCATTCAGAGCCCACACACGAACAAGGCAAACAATGTTATCGAAGTGTTGTAAAATGTAATTTTAATCAGTTAGAAAGCAGACAGTTTAAAAGAACTGAAACTGACTGACAGCCTTAGGAAAGCAATTTGTAAGAATCCATTACCTTGCACAATGCCCCAAGGATACCGGCGAGCTTTTACTGCTTTGTTTCCAATCTTTACTTCTTCCATGCTCCCCACCACTGCAAATGGCAAGTGGCCCTGAAAAACAAAAGTAAAAAAACCTGCATTCCTGGTAACCAAAATAAAAAAATTACCAAATGCTGTGTAGAAAAGGATCAATTCTCTACATCATGCAAGGAAAGCAGCAGGCCACCATGACGGATTGGAAGTGGCAGAGTAGGAAAACTCATCCTATTCACTCATCCTTATGATCCAATATATAACTGACAGACAATCCTATTAACACTTCCCACATCTAACTTGTCCTGAAACTCATCTCCAGGAGGCATTTTTGAGAGGACAAGAATGTGCTAAAACCATTTCTGGAGATCAGGGCACTTCTAGACTCTTAAAAGACTGAGAGGCCAAACCCAAAAGGCAAAATTCTTCATAAATTTTAGATATACTCATTTATATCTAAATGTGCAAATTTAGAATTTTTTAAACTCCTAAACCAGTCAAAGTATGACAGTTAATTTCTCATCTCACTTCAAATAAAGTAAGATTTTCCAATTAATTTGCACTGTACCTCAGTTAATCCTAAATTAGCATACCATCTCTACCCTGCTTCCTTCTCCACATCCCAGTTCTCCCACTTTCCCTTCTGGAAGAAATTTGTCCCCACCTCATACAATTAAATTTAACAACTTTAACAAATTTTCATTAACAACAACAGCATTTTGTAAGGCAAGGGGGATTTGGGTGTGTGTATTCCAGCATGTGGGGCGGGAAAGGAAAAGCTAATCTGACTCTCTCCAGTTGTCAGTCCCCTAGAAAATTGCCCCAATGTCTGGCAAGTAAGCTGTGCACACACGCATACCCTACTATCAGTGGACAGTCAGGGATCTTATAAATACAATGGCACCTCAGCTCACGAACACCTCAGTTCAAGACCAAATTGGGTTGTGAATGAAATTTCATAAACATTTTGCCACAGGTCGTGAACTCTGCATCAGGCGACGAACACGAGCGTGCCTGCCTTCCCTGCACGGGCGCAATCCCAGTCATGCTGGTGGGGGGAGGTGGCTCCATTCATGCTGGGGGGGAGATGGCCATGATTGCACCTGCACCCGCCTCCCCCACAGCGTGCCCGCAATTGCGCCCATCTCCACCCTCCCCCCCGCACAATCGCTGGAGGGGGGGAGATGGCCGTGATCTTTGTTGTTCTTTGACACTTTGCTTCAAATTTTAGTGAGTAAAAAAATTAGCTGCAGAACCTATTAGCCTTATTTACATTGACCCTCATGGGGAAATTTGACTTGGCTCACAACCAATTTGGGTCATGACGAGAGTCCTGGAACGGATTAAGTTTGTGAGCCAAGGTACCACTGTATATCCAGGTTGCTAGGAAATAGATTCAAGACAAGGGCTCTTTGGGTCCAGGTCCAACAACATTCCTAATAGAAAGAAACCATTCTCAGTATGAATCTGAGCAAAGCTGAGTATCAAACCCAAAATTAGATACCTGATTTGCTCTTGGGATGGCCACTGAAGGACAGTGACCTGAAGTTATTGTGACCTGAAACTCTAAGATGTGCTCTTGCTAACTTTAAGAAAGCAGTACCAGAAAAGTTAATAAAGGATCAGTGAAGTACTTACATTCATGGTGGCATTAATTTTAGCAATGCTCTCATCATCTGTTGGAAACTGGTATATCTGGACTCCATTACTGACCAACTCACTCATAATTTTGATCTTAAACTTCTGTAGTTCAGATTTAGAAATTGTATCTGCTTTGGCTATTATGGGAATAATATTCACCTATAAAAGAAATAAATATCTTAACGAGTTAGAATTTTGACAAACTACAATGTGTGGCTGGAGTCCAAAGCAGTGATATGTATCTGCTTGTATATCTGGTATATAATCTGAACTTTTTAGACACAAGTCAATTTCACTGAAAAGACAAACTGTTTTTGGACTGAGTAGGAAAAAGCTGCTGCAGTGAGAACCAGAGCAAGAAGTTGTGAAGTTTTCATCCATGTGTATAGTTCATTTGTAACTAGTTACAGCTTAACTAAATTAATACATTCAAAGCAGAGTATAAAAGCTCTATCAGAAATTAAATCCAAACATTATCTTTACAGAGACATCTGAAATAAAAGGAGCAACAGACCATACTGCTGTCAATGGACTTTAAAAACCTTAACGTTTTCTTTTCTTTTTTCAAATGAAAAGGAGAGCCTCCTTTCTGTATAATCTACTTTAGATATAAAACCACTGACCTAACAAAATTTCATGGAGTCCCTTATTTGTACTCCAGCAATGAAGCTATAAATTCTTATAGCTTCTTTCTACCAGTGCCTATTCCTGTGTCTTTCTCAATTACAAGCCAAATGTGCTGGAATATACTCCCCCATGAGCTGAACATATTTCTTCTAAAGAAATGTTGACAATCATAATCAGGTGAAAATCCTTGATATGGGAATAAATAATGCAAAAAGGTAGCTTTCCTGTCTGCTTTCCATCTGGTTACAGGGAAGACTGTTTGCATTGCTGCTGGGAGTTTAATACTTATTTTGTACGCAATACTTGTAATGTTTTCCCCTGAGTCAGCCACAAGCTCAAAAACCAAATCCGCCCTCCACACCAATGCCTTTAAACTTGACACTTCAGCTAATTAGGAGCCTTTTATGACAACATCCTCTGCCATAAGAGCTACTCTCTACCTGTACTCCGTGAGAAATGCCAAGAGGAAGTGTTAAGCAAAAATGAATGAAGCTTATGGGAGGAATTGCAGGGCATGGCTAGAAATGAGGATGTAGGTGAAGGAGAGAGAACTGAGAGGGGCAGAATTCAAGTTCCTCTCCAGACCTTTGCTTGATTTTCACCTGTCATACTAATCCACTGGTCACTAACAATGAGTATTCCACGAGCAATTCAGGCACACAATATTTTACAATATCAAAACCTATGATCACATCACATTTATAAAATGAGCTTATGTTTTAAATTCTATGTACTAGTCTTACATTATTTGTTGCTGAAAAGAACTTGGTTTCATAGCAGTGTCTGTAGCACAACATTTGAATGTACCCTAAAACAGGGAATGAGCTCAAAGTATGTGACGCAGCCGCACTGTTGAAGCTACGCTGGTTTACGCCTGATCAGTGCCCAAGTGGGAAATCACCTAAAAGCACCATGGATGCTATTTCAGTTAAGAAATGGAAATAAGGAGAGGATATAAATGTACCAAACAAAAAGCAATTAAAGAACTTAGCAATCTTTGCAAACAGTATGTGTTCAATATACATACTGCTGACTGCTACCGCCTACTACCTGATGGAATCACAGATGTGTACAGGCTGATGCAGTAACACCAAACACAATGTTCTCTGTTTAACTACAAACATACAGGCCTAGTTCTATCTAAGAAGGAAAACCAGTATCTGATGTGTAGCACTTCAGACTGCAAGGAAGAGTTTACATGTTGGAACATGCCTGCCTCACACATGGGGAAAAACTGTTATAAAAAGTGTTTATTCTGTCATGTGAACTCCATCACCTGCAGTCTAGTGGTACAAGTTTAGTACCTTAGCTAAAACATGGCCACAGGGAACAATAGGAACAAAGAGGAACCACAGCTCAGTGGTAGATCAGGTGTTCTGTATGCAGGAGATCCCAGATTCAATCCTCAGCATCTCCAGGTAAGCTAGAAAGCTTAGAAAAACTCTTGCCCAAAGCCCCAAAGAGCCACAGGGGCCAGTCAGGGTTGAACAACAGCTTAACTCAGCACAAGACAGCTCTTCATGTTCCTAAGTTGAGTCCAAACAGGACTGCAGTACAGTAATTACTATTTATGATGATAATTAATTGTTGCTCCAGAAAATTCATTGCTTTAAATAGAACTGAAGTATTATGATTTATTATTCAAACATGTGTACAAGACTTTGTCCTTAATTTTTAAATTAATTTTTCACTCCCTCTAAGGAGTACTTGTTTTAGTTAATGGCATTTGGTCTTTAAATCATGATGAGCAGCTACTTTAATTAGCATGGAACAGCTTGTAAAATGAAAAAGCAGTAGAGATGGTTTAACCTAGAGTTCTGCACCAAGGAGGGGGTTGGACCCAATGGCCTCTGGCCCCTTCTAATTCTACTATTCCATGATTCTATGATTTTATGAAATGCTAAATGCTAATGAAAAACTTAGCCCTAAGGAACAGTATTTATCTCAAATGAACAGACATTTCAAAACTCCTGAAAACAACTCATTTATTACATCTTAAGCTGTTTTAAATTAAAATAAAACCAAAATAGTACAAAATAGAATTGAACAGATTAAAACCAGCAGCACTGAGTAAAATAGTGCAGAATATAATAAAATGAAAATAAAGGGCTGTGACCTGACTTTACTAAATTTTGCTCACAAAAAGAAACACCCAACTATAAGGCAATGTCACAGTTATTACAATAAAATGTGCTTTGATTTGTTAGTAAAATTACTAAGTGACCTGCCAAGAATCCCAACAATGTTCAAGTGGTCAGCAGAAAAAAAAAGTTTGAAAACAGCTGTAATAATGCACCCTCAGCTTCATGTCCTTAGAAACATAACCATACATGAACTGGTTATGTGAGAAACTGTTCCAACTTCATGGAGAGCTGTTATTAATTCTAATTGCCATTAAAAGCAGAATTCTATGCAGTTTATTCTGCAGTTTATATGAGTACCACTGATTTCAGCATGGCTTACTCCCAGGAAGAAAGAATGATTGCATCCCAAACCTATTTTAATCTCATCTGCCTTCAGGCAAAGATTACAATTTCTCTTTTCTTTTGTATGTATGACCTACAAAATAAGATTAAATTTAAGCAGATTTAATTAAAACAGAGTCTGGATTTTCAAAAGCCAGAAGATAAACTTTAATACAAGTGACTGGTCATGGTTATACAGCTTTGCTGGTACCGAGTGGTTCCATTTCCATTCCTCTCTCACATCTCTGCTGTCTTGCTGAATATGAAGTTCAATTGTATGATGCTATAAAACTAACTGGCTGAATGGTTGCCTTTATTTTTCAGTACAATTCGTCTCTACAACATTTTGATATGGGAGGCAAATCAGCACACTGAGGCAGCTTATATTTTTGCATTCTTAATTGACTAGTTCTTAGATGTGTTTTTCAGAATACATAGTCAAATTCTGTACTGAAATAGTAGTATGATGTGGACAGGGATTCTAACAAGATTAACAGTATACTTGCATTCACAGACTGCCAATATTGATACCAGGTAGAGTCAAAGAAAAACACATTTCATTAAACAAGTGTGCCTTAACTATATAGTTTTCTGTAGCTAACTGGTCTGACTGCTTCATATATTAATACAACCCATTTTTAGTATTCCCATCTGAGAGCCAGAGTGGTACAGTAGTTAAGAGTCAGGCAACCTGGGGCCTAGCCCTCACTCAGCTGTGTAGCTCACAGGGGCCTTTGTGCCAATCACAAACTTTAACCCAACATACCTCCTAGGGTGGTTGTTGTGAGGCCAAGACTGAGAGAAGGAGGTAAATTATGTAAGCTGCTTTGAGTTCCTTGAAAGAAAAAAGTCAGGAAGTAAATAAATGAATTCTATCTGCTACTTTACAGTCTTCTGTATTTGTAGACTAATTTATTTCACAGTAATTTTATTAATATATCTTCATGTTACTTCTAAGCTACCTTGTATCCTGAAATACGGAATATCAGTAACAGCAATAAACAACTGTTGATATACCATTTCAGTTGTAGCTTCAGCTTCTTTGCGTTATTTCCAAAATGTCATTCAAACAGTCATCCTTCCAATGCTAGAATAGGGTGCTTGCAATTGCCCATTTCTCTCTGCATCCTTCCAGAATGTTGCCATTGCTTGTGTGACACGTGCACTATCTAGTTTATTCCTAAGTGTGAGCTGGACCTGGCTGTGCTTGAGAGGCCCTCATCTGTTATTAACTCTCCCAATTAATCTACAACCTACCTTTCCTGCTTATTAGGTATACAAAGGGCAGAGCTGCCTAAGCCATTATGTCAGAGCTGCTGTGTTTCAGAAAACCTCATAAATTCATGGAAAGTTGACCATATTGTTAAAAATAGAATGTTTCCTACGTTCTCCTGCTCCAAAAGAGACAAATTCAAGAGCAAAAACAGAGTGCCAAATTATTGCCTAATAGTTACAGGATCCTCACCAGTTTCCCAGCCATATGAGAAATGGGTTGGGAAGACAACTTACACTGTTGATTGTACTAGACATGGGCATCATCACAGATATTAACTGCCTTGCTACAGCATTATGAAGCATATTAGCCACTATTACTACATTTGTTTTCAACCAACAATGTTCAAATAAACTTTCAGCAAGGGAAAGCATACTCAACTTCATTTCAATCCTATGCAATGTTTTTGCTGAATTGGTGTGGTTTTTTTTTCAGCCTTAATGCTAATGTAATGAAAGACTGGAGTATCTTGTTTTGCCCTACTTTCATAAACCTACTATATTCAAAAGGACCTGGTCAGAGTAATCTTCTGCATGCTGAGAAAACATTGTAGGGAATATAAGAAGTAGATTTCACCTCTCAAGACAACAGACACTACTGCAGCCTTGGGAGGGGAAATCCGAAATACGGATTTTGCCCCGGCCTTGCAGCCACTGCCACACTGAGCTCTGCACTGGACTGTCTTCTTGGATAGCTACTGTGGACACGGGATGCAAGAGGCCACAGATCCACAGAACAAAAGGCTTCTTCAGCTGCACCAGGCTCATTACATTGGGTGGGCTCAGAGGCCCATCTCCTGGGAAACAGTGTAAAGCAGGATGGGGAAGTGAAAATCTCTTAAGTTGCTCCTCCCACCCCACCAGCAGTGGCCCAGCAAGGCACAGGGGTCTTGAAAGCTTCCGAGACAGGCTTCCATCCAGCAGACAAAAATCCAGTAGGAGTGTACATTATGTGCACTGTAAGAGATAAGTTATGTGAAATGATTTTACTATTTTTGCTAAAGCATTTTAAAATCTTACCTTACTATCCAGATTTTTCATGGTTAATAAATCAAGAGTTTTAAGGGAATGCCCTGTAGGTGAAATAAAGTACAGGCACACGTGGATGCGAGTGTCATGGTAATTATATAAAGACCGTTTAATTTTCAGCTCTTCCTGGAGGTAGGCCTCAAATTGTGCATCAATGTAATCCACTACTGGCTGATAGCTGAAGAGAGAGGAAAAACTGAGTTTGGATTAGAAGGCAGGAGTTTAATTTCATGCTAATGTACTGTTTTGCACATAATGTCAGAGGGCAATAAAAACAACCATAACATTAACTTAATGCTACTTTGCAAAGTTCTTTTTAGTCTAAAATATATCAGCTCTCCTCTTTATTAGTATATAACCATCTCAGCATAGCTGTGAAAGCTGAACAGTGAAGAAAACTGACAAGAAGAAAACTCATGTGTTTGAAACATGGTGTTGGAGGAGAGCCTTGTGGACCAACAGAAAGACTAACAAGTGGGTCTGAGATCAAATTGAGCTAGAATCTGCCCAGGAAGCAAAAACGATGAAGCTGAAGCTGTTCTGCTTTGAGCACATAATGAGAAGGCAAGACTCACTGGAGAAGACACTAATGCTAGGGAAAGCTGAAGGCAGAAGAAGAGGAAGACCAAACTGGAGATGGATTGATTCCATAAAGGAAGACACAGTCTTCAGTTTACAAGAACTGAGCAGGGCTGTCAAGGACAGGCCATTCTGGAGGAAAGCGAGGGGGATGTTGCTCAGCACCAGTTGGTGCTACAAATGGGTTACAATGGAGCAAGAAGGAGGCAGCAAAAACATACAGAAGAGAGGGTCTCATTTGTCATGTTCACCAGAGGGGAAAGGGACCCTTGCCACCATTAGCGGATTTGTGAATTGCTGAAAAACCAACAGAAATCAAACGTTTTTGAAGAGCCTCAGCTATTACTTTTCCAATCACATTTTACATTATACATTCCAGTAACTAGATTCCATTAACTTTCACTTGATTGTGCCAAGTATTTTTAATGCTCAAAATCTAAAGATTTGTTCATTTTTAAAGGGTCTTTGTTTTCCTTGAATACTTGCTTTCCTACAACAGACAGCAGAATTTGTTTTCACCTGCTCAGTGGAAAAACAAAGTCAAAATTTGCACTGACTTTTGGAAGCCTTTTGATAAGCATAAAGTGGCCTTTTGGAGCCTAATTATTGTTTCTAGGGTTGGGGCTTATGCCTTTAGAAAAAAAAGTCACATTGTCACTATGGTAATAGGCTTTCTGTCTATTTTCCAGCCTTTTGTATGTAGATTATGCTGTACTCCTATCCCAAACTAAAGTGGGCATAAAGATTGTTGAGGGCATTCTTCAAGTGTTGTCATTAAGAACAGTTGGCTCTTACAACAAATCTAAAGTCACTGCATTTTCTAGAAACCACAGGGTCCATTGTTGGTCTATGGATAAACAAGTTAAAGTATTTAACGATCTTGGAGTGGTTTTTCAGACAACAGGGACTTGGTCAGCCCATAGAAATTTGTGGTGGAAAAGACATCTCTGAGTTCTAAAATCCTGACATGCTTTTTCTGCACAAAAGGGACAAGTGCAGACCATCAGCACTTGAAGCAGAGCTAAATCTCTAGCATATCTACTTTACAGGGCCCATATATGGGCGGATGCAGACAATGGAGATGTGGAAGCTCTTCAGTCTAAGTTCCTGAGGGAAATCTTTTTTGGTTCCATGTTGTGTTCCAAAAGCTTTGCTGCACCTGTAGCCTACCCTTACTTCCATCAACTTACAGCCCTGGTGTAGGACACTCAATTTCTGGCTCTGGTTGTAATTAACTTCCACTATATTACTCTCTTTGATCCTGCAGGACTCCCATGAGAGTGCTTGGATGAAGTGTGTCAAATCACTTTTTGGGTCTATCGCCACAGCACTTATTAAAGTCAGGACTCAGCAAAGCAAGAGCCTTTAATTAAAAAGTGCATATATGATATTGAACAACAGAATAATTTGGCTATTGCAGAAAAACATTGCCCACAGTACGGTCATTTTCCACCTCAGTCATTTGATACATTGTCATTGTGACTGCAAAATATAATAGTTCTAACACAGGGACAAGCTCTTACATATACAATGCTGAATAAACTGCCATCAGATAAACTTGGGGGGCAAGTTAATTGCACCAGGGCAATGGCAATGTCTTCAGTGCTGCATGCTGGTACCCCACTGCAGCTTCTCCACAGAGTGGTGATGTGGCCCAATGTCATGTCCTACCTGGGGGAGGATTCCTCAGACAAGGGAAGCAAGGGCAGTGAGCTCCAGCCACAATCATGCACAGGGGTCAAGGCTGCAGGTGACTGTCCACTATTAGAGAATGAGGAGCCAGGACCTTTAGGGGCAGCCCCTGTGGCTCCCCAAGAGCAGGAGTCAGAGGCAGAGGGAATCCACCCCATAGAAAGGAGTACAGCTTCGACTTTGACAGAAATCCAAACATTCTGAAAGGGGAGGTTTCCCTGAAACAGCACACTGACTTAATTGACCTGCTGTGCTGAGTTACAGCTGGCTATAAATTAGTTCAGGCAGAGTTGCTCTGTGTTACAAACAACAAGCAGCCTTATCTGTGTTCCTGGACTATGTTGACATTAACTGGTATTTAGATTCCGGACCTGTTTACTGGACATTCTTTTGGACACCCTCATCTGACGTGGAGCTTCAGACGTGCACTAAACATACAGCCTTGACCCCTGGACTGAAACTGACAAATCTTGAGAAGGTAGCACAGAGAGCGGGCTTTTGTGTACTCAGGACAGGACATCCATCCTGTCAACCTGCACCCACCACTACCTGCTCAATGTCTGCACCAGGTAAGTTTACTCCTGTCAGCCGAATGGTGCTCTTGCTGGCCTCCCACTGATACCTGCCTACCTTCATATTGAAGTAAGCTCACTAGTCACCTTTATGTGTAATGCACAGAGACCATGAAGAAGAAAGTAATGTTGCTTACCTGTAACTGATGTTCTTTGAGTGGTCATCTGTGCATTCACACAACCCACCCACCGGCCCCACACAGCCTCAGTACCATAGTTTCAATTTGGACCCATATCAGGATGGTATGGGTCAGTCATTTATCAGCCTCCCTCCCCAGGTCCAAGGTCACAACAGCCCCCAGGTACACCAAGGGAAGGGAGAGGAGAGGCTTCCACCAGAATGAGTTCAGCTAGGAAAATCTTCCCAACAATGGGCCCTGTGCAGACGCACAGCCCATATGTATAAATACACTGGTGACCACTTGAAGAACATCAGTTACAGCAACCTTAATCACCTTGGTCGTTAGATCTTTATAAACATTACAAAATAATCATACATGAGTTATTGTTTCAATGCTTCCCCAGCAGCTGCCAATGGAAGGCGGAAAAGGAAGAGCTGTGGATGGGTGCTCCGGCAGCAGTATCACGGCCAACTGATAGCCATAAGGGCTCAGGTCCATAGCACAGCCCTAAGTCGGCCCACTCAGTTCTTCGGGCCTGGCACATGAATGCTAGGCAGTGCAGCCTGGAATGCACATGGTGTCCTTTCCCAGGCAGAAGGATGTGGGAAGGTAGATGGCTTTCAAAGTGGACACATCCCACCCACAAAAAAAAGTTGTTGATAGGATTGCTGGTTTTTTTTAAAGAGATTACATTGTTTGTTTGTTCTTGGAATAAAGCAGGGATTTTGTGAAAGAGTGAAAACGGAGCAAAGCGAGTAAACAAGAGACAGAGAGAACAATAGAAAGATCAAGAAGAACGGCAATACAAATGTTAGAATCACAAGGAAGTGACCCAAGGTAGACAAAAAAGAATTGGGGAAAATGGCAGGAGTACCTCTTAATTACACCAAGGGGAAGGAGGGGAGGGACTCCCACCAGAACAAGCTTAACTAGAAAATCATCCCGACAACATGCACACGCAAGTGTAGAGCCCTTATGCATGATGCACAGAGACCACCAAGAATACCCCTCCCCTGCTACCTATTCCAAGGCAACCTGTTTCTGCTTATGTGTCTTTTCTTTTAGCAGATCAAAATAAACAGGTCATGGTGAAACCTGCCAGATTCTTAGCCAGTCCTATCAAAAGATTTATTTTTGTTTCAGAGCTCAAACATCTATAGGTTTTGAGAGGCTATGTACAACAGATTATGCAATAATTTTGGCACTGGTATCTAACATAAATCATGGAATGTTTTAAGGGAATTTTAGCTTAGTACCTTGTATTTGTTCTTATTTCCATACATTTGTATTTTATATCCTAAAGCCTATGGCTGACTCAAATAAAGAATGACTGACTGATAGATTGACTGATTGATTGTAATAGGCTTTCTCCTATGACTTTAAAAATGTTCCCTGGATTAGCACATAAAAAGGACTGTCTTTCCAATAAGCTATAGCTATGGTTTCTTTAAATGCTATGTTAAATAAATGACCATACCAATACTAATACACAATGTAGAAGTCAGAGTTTAGATGGACAAATGTTTGAATGATACTAACCTATCATCTTTGTTTATCTGGTCACCGAATCCAACAGTATTTACAATTGTCAACTTCAACCGAACATTGCTTTCCTGGAGTTCATAAGTCTCAGCTTTCAGTCTTACATTTGGCTGAAAGTGTGTTGACACACGGTCATCAAAACTGGTATTAAACAAACTGTCAATCAGGGTTGATTTTCCAATTCCTGTCTCTCCTAAAATTAAAGGAAATTACAAAAGGTGTGACACAAATTTGTAACACAAATCAGAGCCACTACAACATAGATTAAATGCATGTCTGTAAGTTGTTTAAATAAATAAATAAATAAATAAAATGTCTCCCATTTGAAAAGAATGCAAAATGAATTTACCATTACCTTAATAATGAGAGTATTCAGAGATACCAGGAACTTTTTAGGTATTCCTTTGCAGCAGTAACTGATCAAGAAATTCCTCCAGAAAATGCATGAAATACTATATTTTCCCATATTACCCAATTAGCATCCTCCTTCCCACTCCTACACATTTTTATTTCTCCCTCATAATCTCAATTTCACCTCAGTTTTGCTCTTTTCACTCAATGGAAATCGTATCTGGGCTGCAGTAATTCATGGAAAGTTGTTTAGCTTCCTTGAAAGTAAATCTTCCAGTATGGGAGCCATCCAAGTGGCATAATTTTAAAAAACTTCATTCGGGTTAGAACATTTTAATTTCTTCAACACAGTCCTTGGAAAGAGCCTACCATAAAGATATGGCTTCATTGTCTATTTCTTGATCCTGGGTGGCCAGAGGATAGGATAAAGCTAAGTAGTACTGCTGCAGGGCTGGGAAGCCTTGAATTTTATGGGTATTTCCTCAAACATACTACTTTTTTGCAACAACTTCAAGGAATTCTGAAGCCTCATTCAACTATTTTCAGCTCCTGTTAAGTATCTGAACTTCTATTAGCAATTTGCTAATAAAGATTTCCTGCCAAATTCTGTTCCTGATTACACCCTGATTAAAATCAGATTCTTTATATATAATTCTCAAACTTTTTTTTAGTTCTGGCAAGTAGTTCAACACAGGCTTTGAAGAAAACAAAATAAAACAGCATTTTGATTCTTCCAATACCATGATAATAAATGCTGTATATTAATCAATGGCCCACCCTTGTTTGTCATTATAGGTTGCTTGTTGGATGAGGTGACCAGGGGTTGCTTCACCAGGGTGATTTATTTTTTCAAATAAGTGCTTGTGGGCTGTTCCAGGGTTCTTGTCACCCACGGTGTATTGCCATCATGTCCAAACCAGAGGCTACAACCCACCATGTGTCCCAACAGGCCACAAACTACTTGGCAAAAAACCTTAGCTACTCTTGTCAAGTAGCTTTTTTTAACTTTTCAAATTTAATATACTATTGTAATCTATTTATATGAGATTCCTCAGCTGCATATTGTATATTTTATTGCATACTGTTACTATTTATTGTATGTTTATATATTTTTATTATATATCATTTTTATTGTTTCTTTTTAATCCACTTAGAAAGCCCTTGGGACTAATTAACTGTGGAATATTAATTAAATAAATTTATTTATTTATTTAAAACATTTTTATGCCGCCCGCATCGCAACAAAGCCTCAGGGTGGCTCACAACAAAAACAAAAATATACAAAATTATACAAAAACAAAGTTATACACTAAATATATTAAAACCCGGTGCATCTCGGCTTAAAAATTTTAAAATCCTACATAATAAATTAACACTTAAAATAAGTTTTAAATAAAAAGGTCTTAGTCTGGCACCAAAAAACAAATAACGACGGCGCAAGGTGGACCTCTCTGGGGAGCGCATTCCATAGGTGGGGTGCCACCGCAGAGAAGGCCCTCCTACGGGTACTCACCCTCCTAATATCATTCACAGAGGGTTCCCGGAGAAGGGCATCTGTTGCTGATCTCAAGGGGTGGGAGGACATATATGGACGCAAGTGTTCCTTTAGATACCCAGGGCCCAAGCCGTTGAGGGCTTTATAGGTCATAACCAACACCTTGAATTGGGCCCAGACTTCAATCGGGAGCCAGTGGAGCTGACGGAGAACTGGGGTTATATGAGAACAACGCCCAGTCCCCATCAGCAGCCTGGCAGCTCTATTCTGCACCAATTGAAGTATCTGGACCATCTTCAAGGGTGGCCCTACGTAGAGCGCATTGTAGAAATCTAATCAGGAAGTTACCAACGCGTGTGTCACTGTCGCCAGGCAATCGTTCTCCAGGAAGGGACGCAGCTGATGGATCAACCAAAGCTGAAGGAAAGTACTCCTCGCCACCGCCATCACCTGGGCTTCTAAAGACAGCTCTGGGTCTAGGGGCACTCTTAAGCTGCGAACCCTGTCCCTCAGAGGGAGTGCAACCCCATTTAGGACAAGGCCCAAGTCCCCCATCCCGAGTCCCGAACCACCCACCAACAGGACCTCCGTCTTGTCTGGACTGAACTTCAGTTTATTGGCCCTCATCCAGCCCATTACCTCGGCCAGGCACCGGTTCAGCACAGCCACTGCCTCACCTGGATTGGTGGAAAACGAGAGGTAGAGCTGGGTTTCATCAGCGTACTGATGATTCCGCAGCCCACACCTCCTGATGACCTCTCCCAGTGGTTTCATGTAGATGTTGAATAGCAAGGGGGACAAAATGGACCCCTGCGGAACTCCATGGCATAACTGCCATGGCGCAGAGCCATAGTCCCCCAGCACCACCTTCTGAAATAAGCCGCTGAGATAGGAACGGAACCACCGCCATGCAGTGCCTCCAACTCCCAATCCCGCCAGCCTAATCAGAAGGATACCATGGTCGATGGTATCGAAAGCCGCTGAGAGGTCCAGGAGAGCTAACAGGGACGCACTCCCCCTGTCTCTCTCCCTGCACAGGTCATTGCACAGGGCGACCAAGGTAGATTCAGTGCCATACCCGGGTCTGAAGCCGGACTGAAATAGGTCCAGATAATCAGTTTCATGCAAGAATGCTAGCACCTTGCCCAGGAACGGGATATTGGCCACCTGTCTATAATTGGCGACCACCTCTAGATCCAGTGATGCCTTCTTTAGGACTGGCCGGACTACCGCCTCTTTTAAAGGGGAAGGTACCTGACCGTCTCTTAAAGAGGCGTTGACCACCTCCAGGATCCAGGTGCCAATCCCGTCCTTGGCTTTCTTAAGTAGCCAGGATGGGCATGGGTCTAGTAAGCAGGTGGTATGGCATATTTGTCCAAGCACCTTGTCCACATCATCAGGCCACAACAACTGAAATCTATCCATTAATTGTGGACTCAACGGCGTCGTTGGCATCTCCTCAGTAGAATCTGGTTCAATAGTAGAGTCAAATTCGTGACGAATCTGAGTGATTTTCTCCCTGAAATGCCTGGCAAAGTCGTCACAGCGGGCCTTTGAGGGTGGTATGAGATCTTTCTTTGGGCCTGGATGTATCAGCCCTTGCACCACCCAAAAGAGCTCCGCCGGATGGCATTGTGAGGAGGCAATGGAAGCAGAGAAGAATTTCTTCTTCGCCGTCCTCACCACCACAGCATAGGCCCAATAATGGGCTCTTAAGTGTGTTCGGTCAGATTCACCCCATGATCTCCTCCACCTATGCTCTAGACGTCTCCCAACCTGCTTCATCGCCCGTAATTCAGGTGTATACCAAGGAGATGAACAGGCTCTGCCAGGTGGCAGAGAACACTTGGGAGCGATCGTGTCAATAGCCCTGGTCATCTCCCCATTCCACAATTCAACCAGGGCATCGACAGGATCACCAGCCCTGTCAACCGGAAAATCCCCCAGAGCTTTCAGGAATCCATCAGGATCCATCCGGCTCCGGGGGCGGACCAATACAATCTGGTCTGCACCCTTATAGAGGGAAAGGCCGCTCTCGAGCTCAAACCGTATGAGGAAGTGATCTGACCATGACAAGGGCGTCAAACTTAAATTCCTCAACCTCAGATCACCCTCTGCCTGCCCCGTCGAGAAAACCAGGTCCAGAGTGTGTCCACGTTCATGGGTCAGGCCACTGACGTGTTGAGACAGCCCCATGGCCGCCATGGAGGCCATGAAGTCCTGAGCCATCCCGGTTAGAACCGTCTCGGCATGGAGACTGAAGTCCCCCAGGACCAACATCCTGGGAGTCCTCAACACCAGGTCCGAGATGATGTCCGTCAGCTCAGGCAGGGAGTCTGTTGGGCAGAAGGGTGCACGGTACACCAACAGAATCTCCAATCTGTCTCGGTTGCCCAACACCAAGTGGAGGCACTCCAGCCCCGGCCTCGAGAGGACAGGAAGCCCCACAAGGGAAATAGAAGCTCGATAAACCAGAGCGACCCCCCTCCCCTCCCCTCCAGGCGTGGTCGGTGCTGGACCAGGTACCCGGGTGGGCACAGTTGTGAGAGGGCGACATCCCCCCCCCTCACCCGCCCAGGTCTCTGTGATACAAGCCAGGTCGGCCCTCTCATCCACGATCAATTCATGGATGAGTGTTGCCTTATTTTGGACCGACCTGGCATTAAGCAACAGCACCGACAGGCCCGGGAGGCAGCTGACCAAGTGAGTGCTGCGTGACAGCAGCCTCCAAAGTGCCCAAGCATGTGCCATGCCCATGGTGGTACAGAGCAGCCAAGCTCCCAGGGCACAGGAGACCAGAGCAAGTGACAGGGAGAACAACAAGAGTTTGGTGGCAGAGATGCAGTGGAAGAGGGGACAAAAGCAAAGGCAGAGGCAAAGGGCTGAGGGATCTGGATTAACTCAGCAACAGTCTCTTCTACCAGAAGCTCAAAAGTAGGCCTCCTCAGCCACCAGGAACAATGGTCCAGATCTGCTCCTTTGTAACAAGGGAGCACAAGCCTCTCCAGCGAAGAGGAACATGCTTGCCAAGGCTAGAGAAGTCTACTGTCCAGTCACAGAAAGGAAGCCAAGAGACAAATTCTGTGGTAATGGCCCATGCTTCAGGCAGTGACATTAGGCAGCTTCTGCATAGCCTGAAGTGCCTCATGCTGCCCAATCTTAAAAGCTAAGCAGGGTCAGGCCTCAGTGAATCAGGATGGGTGACTTAAATTTTCGTGACCTGCCCAGAGAGCTTTGGCTAAGGGTGGTATAGAAACGTAATGCAATGTGATGTGGTGAAGATGATGAAGAAGAGGCAGATCATCCTGCCTGCCACCTGCCTGAGGCGGGAAAAGCTGCAGGTGCCCATCCTGCTCAACTCTGGTATCGCCATGAGAATGGGGAGCCACCACTGAACATACCAGGCAACCAGCTTCCTGCTGAACAGACCTCCTGCAAAGGTGGCAGGAGCCAGTGATACACTCAGTGCTTTGCCCCATGTTCAAGGCATGGTCACTGCCTGGATCAGGCAAGGGCACCGTCCTTGCACATTTCCTCCTTGCTGAAACTCAAAATCATTATGCTGTGGATTCTATTACAGCTGCAGGTGACTGAAATCAGGTCACAATCATGGCTATCAGTCACATGGTGTCCACTGGGATACCACCTGGAGGAACAAGGGGAGAGCAGCAAAGTCCCCTCAATGAACCCAATCATTTGTTGGGTCAACATGGGTACTTTTCAAAACAACCTGCCCACCATGGCTTATTTGCAGGGTAGGTTTTTGTGTCATATAAATTCAGTTAATGTGTAATTACTGCTCACCAAATAGGAGAAGTAACCTGTTAAGAGATCACTAAAAGTGAAGCTTAAAAAGCTGAAAATGATTGGGGTCTAAATGAAATAAGCATAGTTGAGCTTAGTTCTGCCATCCAACTATCTTGCAGGCAATATCCCCTGGAAAATGGTAACAATTTGTCACCTTCACTGCTTCAGACCTTTCAGTAAGAGAGACATTTAGAACAAATAACTCATAATGCTCATGTTATATAACTCATATTACTTATTAAATAACTCATATTACTTACCAATACAGAGAATGTTGAAGCAGAACCCCTGATGGATAGATTTGTTAACCAACTGATCTGGTAAACTATCAAAACCAACATGACCAGATAAGGGTAAGGGTCGGCAATTCTGCTGTAAAAAAATAACGTAAATTTGAATTCATTATTGCAAAACAATATCTATGTGGCCAGTAGAGAATCACTGTTGAGTCTCAGTCAGATAACACTCAACAGTTTAAGAGCTTGCATAATATATCATCTATTCAATTTTCCCCATCTAAATAAAATCCACTGTAGATAGACAGCCTGAAAACAGGGTTAAAACTCTCTAAACAGTTAACAAATATAAAGTTCCACAAGCATTATGGTGACTGCTCCTTTATGATGTCCAGATTTCTTATTGAAAAGACATGGTTTTCAACAAACTTAGATCTCAGACTAATCACATGAAAGAAAAACATGCCACCATGGTTCAGTAACATTAGAAACTTATGGATAGGCATGTTAAATGTGCATCAAGACGCTTCATAGCAACTTCTGTCTTTCTTTCATCCAAGTTCTTTCTTGCACCCCTTTCATACCTCCATCCACCTGCTTTTCCAGATGAACATATGAAAACTATGAACAAAAAGTGGAATTTTGTTTTTCCACTCCTTCAAGATTTATTTAGTGTTTTCATTCCTGTCCCTCTTCCTCCTTCTTATCTCAAACAAACTGATGTGAGCTTTTCAGGAAATGCAATTTAAGTTGATTTGCATAGGTTCACTTAACATAGAAAATTTTTCAGTCTGCATCAAAAAGCATTCCAAAGCAGCAGAGCAAGGATGAATAACTTACGGCTCTCAGGATGCTTTGGCCTACAACTTCCATTATCTCCCAACCCACTGGCTTTGCTGGCTAGGCATAATCACTTGAAAAAATATACTTTGAAATTGTCAAGCTTGCCTAATGTTGCATTTGCAAATGACATACATCTATTTTTACTGACTTATTAAATTTATGGGAAAAATTTGGCAGAAAATTAAAGCACTGCAATCTTTTCCAGAACATTTGCAACCCCACATCACTGCTTACACATCTTTTCTGTGTTCCTTTCTTGAGGGAATCCTCTCCAGAGTTTTAACTTAAGTTAAACACCAAGTCCTATAGAACCTGGCTATAGGGAAGAGAACAGCAACAAGAGCGATACAGGAATCAGTTTCCTGTCTTTCACCTTACACTGAGCTTTAGAGAGGGGGAAATTGGTCAAGGGACCTACACCACCCCTGCTTTCCCTGAAGCTTAACTCAAAGTGAGACAAGGCCTCTTTCCCTCCTCTGAGTCATCTTAACATGCAGAAAATGTCAGGGTAGGATAGCCACTCTTCTCACACTTCATACTGGGCTTCAGAAAATGAAAGAAACCTTAAGAATCCCACTCACTTCTTCCCAATATTTATAGCGAATGGGATACTGGTTTTTTGCATTTCATGCCACCATGTGTATAATGGACTTGAGGGAGGTTTGGTGTCTTTTTCCCACACCTAGCACTCACCACTTTAAGTTGTAGCAATTTGTGGAGAACTCAGAAGTAGAGATCTTAGTGCTTATACAGAATTGGTCAAGAGGAAAGAAATTCTATACAATTTTTATTATTTTATTTATTTATTTATTAAAACATTTTTATGCCGCCCCATTCGCCGAAGCCTCGGGGCGGCTTACAACATAGATAAAACAAGTTAAAATCCATATAAAATAATCTTAATTAAAACACACATTATAAAATAAGCCGCCCTGGCCAGATAAAATTCAATTGTATTTAGCATTTAAAATGTTGCTTAAATAAAAAGGTCTTAGCCTGGCGCCGAAAAACAAATAACGACGGCGCCAGGCGGACCTCTCTGGGGAGCGCATTCCATAACTTAGGCGCCACCGCTGAGAAAGCCCTTCTCCGAGTAGCCACCCTCCTAATTTCTCTCCCAGAGGGCTCCCGGAGAAGGGCCTCTCCCGCCGATCTCAGGGGGCGACTGGGCAAATATGGATGTAAGCGCTCCTTCAGGTAACCAGGACCCAAGCCGTTTAGGGCTTTATAGGTCATTACCAACACCTTGAATTGGGCCCGGACTTCAATGGGGAGCCAGTGAAGCTGACGGAGAACTGGCGTCATGTGAACATAACGTCCAGTCCCCGTCAGCAGCCTGGCAGCTCTATTCTGAACCAATTGAAGTATCCGGACCGTCTTCAAGGGTAGCCCCACGTAGAGCGCGTTACAGAAGTCAAGACGGGAAGTCACCAGCGCATGAGTCACTGTTGCAAGGCAGTCGTACTCCAGGTAGGGGCGCAGCTGGTGAATCAGCCGAAGCTGGAGGAAAGCGCTCCTCGCCGCTGTTGTCACCTGAGCTTCAAGTGAAAGCTCCGGGTCGAGGAGCACTCCCAAGCTGCGGACCTTGTCCCTAGGAGGGAGTGCAACCCCATTCAGGACAAGGTTCAGGTCACCTTCTCCGAAGCCCGAACCGCCAACCAACAGGACCTCCGTCTTGTCTGGATTGAGCTTCAGTTTATTGGCCCTCATCCAGCCCATTACCTCGGCCAGGCACCGGTTCAGTACAGCCACTGCCTCACCTGGATTGGTGGAAAACGAGAGGTAGAGCTGGGTATCATCAGCATACTGATGGGTCCGCAGCCCACACCTCCTGATGACCTCTCCCAGCGGTTTCATGTAGATATTGAACAGTAAAGGGGACAAAATGGAACCCTGCGGTACCCCATGGCAAAGCTGCCATGGCGCAGAGCCATAGTCCCCCAACACCACCTTCTGGAATCGGTCGTTGAGATAGGAGCGGAACCACCGCAAAGCGGTGCCTCCGACCCCCAATCCCGCCAGCCTATCCAGAAGGATACCATGGTCGATGGTATCGAAAGCCGCTGAGAGGTCCAGGAGAACCAACAGGGACGCACTCCCCCTGTCCTTCTCCCTGCACAGGTCATCGTACAGGGCGACCAAGGCAGATTCAGTACCGTACCCGGGTCTGAAGCTGGACTGAAATGGGTCCAGATAATCAGTTTCATCCAAGAGTGCTTGGAGTTGTCCCGCCACCACTCGCTCTAACACCTTGCCCAGAAACGGGATGTTGGCCACTGGTCTATAGTTAGCGGCCATCCCTGGATCCAGTGACGCCTTCTTCAGGACCGGTCGGACTACCGCCTCCTTTAAAGGGGCAGGCACCCGACCCTCCCTCAGAGAAGCGTTAACCACTTCCAAGATCCAGGTTCCAATCCCGTGCTTGGAATCCTTTATTAACCAAGACGGGCAAGGGTCCAAAAGGCAAGTGGTAGGACGTACTCGTCCAAGCACCTTGTCCACATCATCGGGCCGCAATAACTGAAATTCATCCAATAATTCTGGACCAGACGGCAGCGTTGGTGTCTCCCTTAAAACCTCTGAATCAATAGTGGAATCCAGCTCGTGACGAATCTGAGCGATTTTCTCCCTAAAATGCTCGGCAAAGTCGTCACAGCGGGCCTTTGAGGGTGGAATCAGCTCTTCCTTTGGCCCTGGGTGAACCAGGCCTTGCACCACTCGAAAGAGCTCCGCCGGACGGCATTGTGAGGAGGCAATGGAAGCGGAGAAGTGTCTCTCTTTCGCCGCCCTCACCGCCACAGCATAGGCCCGATAGTGGGCTCTTAAGTGTGTTCGATCAGATTCATCACGTGATTTCCTCCACCTACGCTCTAGCCGTCTCCCAACCTGCTTCATTGCCCTCAATTCTGGAGTGTACCAAGGGGAAGAGCGGGCTCTGCCCGGTGGGAGAGGACGCTTAGGAGCGATCGTGTCTACAGCCCTGGTCATCTCCCCATTCCACAGTTCAACCAGAGCCTCGACAGGAGCACCCGTCTTGTCAGCCGGAAACTCCCAGAGCCTTCAGGAATCCTTCCGGATCCATCCGGCTCCGGGGGCGGACCCACACAATCAGGTCTGCACCCTTACAGAGGGAGATGTCGCTCTCGAGCACAAACCTCACTATTTTTATTAGTATATATCCATGGCATACACAAAAATACATTGCATATCACAGAGAACTCATGTGAACCTTTCCCCCCATGTAATGATTATTTCCATGCAGGAAAATTGCACAGTAAGCCATTTCTGAATCAACTTGACTTCAACTGAAGTGAAGTTTTCAATGGAGACTAGCACATTTCCTGAGTCCACCTTGGAAATTAAGGCTGAATTTGATTTAAAAAATATCCATATCTAATTTTGAGGCTGAAATGATGTCAATACTTTTCCATTCTATGGACCTTTCCATCTTGCACTCAATGTTTAGTGTACTAAAATGAAATTGTTTCCATTACGATGAATACAACTTACTTCTAGGTAACATGTTTAGAACAAGAGTGATTGGCTCCTTCTAAATTAAAGCAGAGCCTGAATACTTTTTATCCTTTCTTAAAAATATGTGAGGCTGGATATATGCAGAAAGCTATTAACCATCTACTTTATGGCATCCTATCTGAGGAAGTTTGGGTGCAAGGCAAAGGCACTTTTGATAGCTTACACCTCTTGGAAAAAGCAGTGGAGTGACTTACTTTTAAAAATGCCTCTAACCATGCATTAATGTATTCCAAATGCATACATTTTTTGGATTCTGTAGAAAGTAGTGCTGTAGAAATGCCAGGAAATGCTGTGTGATGCCTCCAGGCATATATCTTAGTTGACTCTGCATTTTGGGCAGTTTAGTTTACCTTCCAGGCAAAATTACTATAATTCACATAAAGCATGGTCTGACCAAGTTTCTGTAATACAGTTATCATATATTATCCGTAATGGTAACAACTTCCAGATGGTAGCATATTTGTCTGTCGTGGCAAAACCAACACAGAATTTTGTGGCACCTTAAAATGGCATTATGATATAATCTTCTATAGACTCTTCTATAGATTCTTCTTCTATAGAAGAATCTTCTATAATCTTCTATAAGTTATGCCATAATAAACTTGTGAATCTTTAAGATGTCACAGGATACTTTGTTGCTTCTGTTCCAGAAGGGCAATAGAAAGACAATGCCATGTAAAGCCATTTAATTCTTTACTCACTCTTCTTGCATCTTGATTATCTACTGGTGGATTAGATGGTGCTCTCATTCTGATATCAGGTTGATAGCGCTGAGGAAAAAAGCATTAAAAATGGAAAGTAAATATCAAAACAATGGAATAAGAAAGAACTAGGGCTGCAACCTGATTAAAGAATATTTCAATTGATTCATCATATGATTATTAGCAAATTATTCAATCAATTAAATTTGCTTACGGGGAAAAACAAAATTTATGAAGCTTTTTTGTTTTAAAATGATAAACAAATATTATAGCACAAGACACACAGAGTAACTTGGTTCACACAATGCAACAATCAACATTCAAGGCTGAGTATGGGTTGCAGTTGAACTGTGGGTAAGCTATGTTGTATCAACCCAGCTGTGCTAAAAGCCATGTTTTATTAACCATGAACAACCCACAGCAATCCATGGTTCTGTTTATGGATTAGTTTGTGGTTAACAACATATAGTTTGTTGGTGCACACAACACAACCATCCATATTTCAGTGACAGCCTACATTCCAATACAACCCATACTCAAGTCTGAGTGTTGGTTGTGTTGAGCCAACCCAGCCTCTTCTATATATGCAGGCAGAGAGACACAGAGAGGAGAATGCTTATTAAGATTAGTGCTTGTCATCTGAAGTTATAAATGCTTAAAAGGTGCTTCAGATCAATTAATCTTATTAAGTAGCCCTGGAAATGCACTTAAGTACAGTTCATTTAAAAAAAAATGGGAGGAAAGGTACAATTCCACTCACACTGAGCAGGGAATGAGTCCCACAAACACATTCAGACTTATTTCTGAATACACATGTTTAAGTTTGCATTGCAAGTTCTTGTAACAACAGTTTCTAGCCCAAAAAAGGAGCACTCGTGACTGACAGCTAAAGTAGTACATTCTACAGCGCTACTTTCTACAGCATTCCATCTCACAGACTTAGGAGAAACTTTACATTTCTAGCTCACAGAACCTCTACGATAGTTGTAAAAATTACTTAGCAGGCTGCATAGACTTACTTTTGTGATATATTAACTTCAGTCTTGAAATGTATCTATGAAAAACAGTTTGCACCACTTATGATATCTCAAGAGCTAACAACCAACGTTCAAGTAAGATAAACTGACATTTTACCTTCAGCAAGAGCCAATTTCAAGAGTCAAACTCTGGTTTTTTTATCTGGAAGATGACACTACAGCAGTTGTAGTCATACAGTACTGGCTTCTTTACTTAAACCTCTGTACCTGACCACTCTAAAAGACAGCATTTTCTTCCTTTTCAAAAACCCACTTAACGCTTCAGTCCTATACAAATCTAGTTCCAAGAGGTTATCTTACTAGGTTCATAATACAATCCTTTACATATCTACTTAAGAGTAAGACCCACTGTGTTCAGCAAGATTTATCCTTCAGTAGGTGTGTATAGGATTATAGATGAGGCCCATTTCATATCTCATATGTAGCGGCGGTCTGAGCTGTTTCCCTCCTACGAACCTCTCCCTTGCACAGGATTGCATGGAGAAGTCCCAATGCGTACTGGAGAGAAACCTTCATGACTCCACTTTTTGCAACCACCATGATGACAGAAATGGCTGTGTTGGACTTTCCCACACAGCCCACTTCAGAGTGATGTTTCTAAGCCTTTGTACAGCAAACAGCTGAGGGAGACAGAAGCTATTTAAACAAGATAACAAACTTTTAAATAGAAAAAGAGGAATGCCCTTACAGGAAAAAATCCTTCCGTAGGGCACAGGTGCAGCATCTTCCCCGCCCCTGAGGCAAGAGCTACATTGCTTCTGGGTTAATTGGGGCAGGGGTGGGGAGGCTTAATCCAAAATTGGGTAGGGCCAGGGTAGGGTTAAGCCCTTCTCTCTTGTTGCCGCCTCCTTTTGCCTCTCTCTCCCCCACCCACCCAGCCTCCATCCAGTAGGCTACTTGTTGTGGGGCAGATCACTCTTGCCAGAGATCTGAACTGACTGTTTGAAGAGGGGTCTTAGAATTAAACCAAGTGCAGTATATTGCTCACCCCTGCCATAAGCATTAAGAATAAGATGGAGGATTGCATTATTAAGAGTGAGCTGAGGGGATTAGAAAAGTCAAAGGTAGCAAAGTTGCCTCATGCTGCCAGTGAAGAAGGGTAGCACCAACAACACTTTCAGCAACAAACCCACTTTGCTCTCCAGAACTTATTCTCCAGAACAAGTATAGCCAAACTTGAATTCCTGACATTAGAACCTTCTGCATATTAAAGCAAATGTAGTTAAGGCAAGTATTTTGCGTGCCTTTTCTAGAAAAGTACAGCTAGCTCTGAGAAAATTTCCTCTGTTCTTACCCATTTAAAAACTAAAATGGAGAAGGAGAAGGAGGAGGAGAAGGAGAAGGAGAAGGACCTGCCGCCGCCACTTAACTCTTAGCAGAAACAAAGTTCAATAAGGGTACTACATTCTGCTCACTTGGAACTGAAGTCAACATTTTTGCAACAACAGGATGCCATGATATGGCTAACTGCCTTGATGTAACCATTCTTCAAGTCAAAACAATGCTGTAACACTCATATCAAAATCTCCCAGCGGTTTAGTTCCCAGTGTCCTTGAATTTCTGCCAAAGAGGATACTTGCAGATGCAAGTTTTAATCAGGAAACTCAAGTGACTCAAGTGTCAGCAAGAGATACTGAAATCATTGAAGACTTTACAAGACCGAACATCAAAATATCCTTGCTACAAATCATATGTAATATTTTTCTGCCTTTGGTATTATGAATTATATCAGTAATTCTATTAACATCTTCTAAGCATAATAGAAAGCATACGTAACAGTCAAACACAGACATCTGTATGCAGCACATTCTATTTCAAACACTCATAGAATCTACAAAAAACTCCTCAAATCATTTGCCACGGGCAACAAAGATAACCCTTCTATCATGTATCTTTTCTAATAGACAAAAACGAACTCACAGTGAGGTATGTTATACCTTAACACTGCATACATTCAAAGTACAATCAAACATGACATTCCTCATACTACATTGCTAAACAAACAGTTGAAACCAAACATGGGAGGGTAAAATACTAAAAGTTCTGGCATTGTTTTATTTATTCAAGGCTGTCCTTTCAAACTGGCACCAGTTAGTCATCTTATGGGTGGAGCAGCTACACAAAGCCAGTACAACTGAATCAGATTCAAATCTATGCAAAAAACAACTCAATACATGAATTCCAAATATTGCCAGAATACCAGATATAAAAATGCCTTCTTTGTTTTTATAATCTACTAAATAATACCAGCTTGGTTTTTATATCCCAATATAAAGCCAGCACAGATTTTAGGAAAAACACCCTTCACAGATTTCTGTCACATAATAGATATATACAGCATTTTGTAGAAGCATTCACCCCCTTTGACTTTTCCACATTTTGTTGTGTTACAACCTTGAACTGAAATAGATTTAATTGGCATCGTTACCAGTCGAAGTACACAAGATACTCAACACTGCAAAAGTACTAAATATTTTTTTTACTGTGGGACAAAGGTTAACAAAAAAACAAGTGGCACTGCTTGCTTGCATAAGCATTCACCTCGCTGAGTCAATGCGTGACAGAAGTGGCTTTGGCAGCAATTCCAGCTGTGAGCCTCCTGAGTCTGTCAGCTTTGTGCATCTGGATCCTGCAACGTTTGCCCATTATTTATTTATTTATTTATTTAAAACACTTCTATGCTGCCCCTATCACAACAAAGACTCGGGGCGGCTCACAACATAAATAAAACATATAAATATAACAATTATACAATTAAATTTAAAACCCCGGTGACATCTTGGCTTAAAAAATTTAAAGTTCTATAAATACAATAAATTAACAATTAAAATAAGTTTTAAATAAAAAGGTCTTAGCCTGGCGCTGAAAAACAAATAGCGACGGTGCCAGGCGGGCCTCTCTGGGGAGCGCATTCCATAGGTGGGGCACCACCGCAATTAAATTAAAGAAAGCCCTCCTCCGGGTACTCACCCTCCTAATATCATTCACATAAGGTTCCCGGAGAAGGGCCTCTGCTGCCCTTTCTTCCCAGCAAAACTGCTCCAGCTCTGTCAGCTGGGATGGGGCCACTGGCAAACTACAACTTCCAAGTCTTCCCACAGATCCTCAATCAGACTGAGGTCTGGGCTTTGACAGGGCATATAGGCTCTTGTTTTTAAATTACTCCAGTATTACTTTGGCTGTATGTTTCGATGTATTGTCCTGCAAGATGAACTTTTCCCCAGTCCCAAGTTCCTTGTACACTGAAACAGGTTTTCCTCTAGAATTGCTCTGTATTTGGCTTCACTCATCTTGTCCTGAATCCTGACCAGTTTTCTAGTTCCTGCCAAGGAAAAGCATCCCCATTACATGATGCTGCTACCACCATGTTTCAACATGGGGGATGATGTTCTCAGGGCAATTAGTACTGTCTGCACCACTCTTAATTTTCTGCAGCCAAAATGTTCATTTTTTGTCTGAGATTATGCAGCACTGAAAAAGCTCCCTGGCAGAGCCCAATCAACTGCTTACAATACTACATTTGACTTCCAGAGTCAGTGGGTTGCACCTGAGCCTATTCAGGGATGTCACAAAAGAAGCAGTGAATACTTGTGTGATCAAGAAGTGACAGATTTTGTTTACTTAACTTTTGTGTCAGAATAAAAAATATTTTACACCTTCAAAGTGTTGAATATTTGAATACCTCAAGTGGTAACAGTGCCAATTAAATAAATCAATTCCAGGTTGTAATACAAAAATATTAAAAAGGGATAGTATTTCTGCAAGGCACTGCAACACACACAGTTATACTTAGTCTCTCTCCCCCAACCTCCACAGATACTTCTCAGCCTTCCCTAATCTGGTGCCCACCAGATGTGTTTGATTACAGCTCCCAGAATCCCTGCTGACCATTGGCAATGCTTTCCAGGGCTGATGGGAATAAAAATCTAAAGTACCTGAGTGCCCATCGGGTATAATGTATAGTGAATTGAAGACTATGATGCAGTTCCTACTGAACTAAATGAACATTTCATTTAACTTCATATACAGTAA